CAAAGCATATTTGCACAGAGATAAAGTTGGTAAACCTGTTAACTAAACTAATATTGACTAATGAGTGGAAGAAGAGCTCAGGAGATATATGGTGTGATCTTGCCGTTAAACAAAGTTTCTCTCGCATAGCAGTCAGATTCTTACAGAAGAATATGAATGAAATGTGAGTGTAAGCAAATTGTGAGTACAAGTCTTTGCGTGAGTTGGTCAAAATAATATTTGAGATGAGTTCAGATTTCAGAGATGAATTTTTTCTATTATGTGATTTCTTTGAGAAATATGAGATAGTATTAGTCAAATGAGTGATAATCTTTTAAAGTGGATTATCATATGTAGTGTGAAGTGCAGCAGGAAAAACAGTAAGTAACCTTGATTTGAAAAAAAATGTGTGAGAACTCTGAAAAGTAAGTCACTGTAAAATCACAACAAAAAAGATGCAGTGAACTTTATAAAACCTCAACCGTGACTCTGTAAATAAATTCACTGTGAACTCCTATAAAAAAAAAAAATTGTCATTCTGAAAACTAAGGTACTCCGAAAAATAAACTAATCCACTCTGCAAAAACTAAGTCAGTGCAAAAACTGAGTCAGTCTACGAAAACTAAGTCACTCTGCAAAAAAAAAAAAAACAGCGTTGAATGTAACGAAGCGTCATTTTTCTGGGTGAGATCTGAAGGCTCTCTGCAGCTATCCAGGATAATATGGATATATTAGACTTCTGGCATCAGTCAATAGGCCTACTGGGGTACATGAGCCAGAACCTGGCCTCTTCAGAGAGGCACGAGGAGCAATGGCCTATAGAAACCCTGAGGTTGGGAGCATTCTATGTCTGCCATCGACCGGATTAGGCACCTAGAACGGTAAGCACCGCAAAACAAACTCCTATTCTGGTTAAATTATTGCTACCGAAAACCGAACTAGTGGACAGAACTCCCCCAAATGAAAACGAGCAAACGAACATGTCACCATGTTGCTGTCTGCGCAGCCTCCCCCTCTCCTCCCAGGAAGGGGGAAGGGAAAGCTGCAGACCATCACGCCGTCTATCCACCCTTCAGTTCATAGGCTGGATGTCAAAACACATGGCAAAACGCGACCGGGGGAAGGGAGGAGTGCCGGGGAGGCTTCGGGTCTCACGCAGAAAATGACATTTTATTACATTCAATGCTGGTTTTCTGGAGGAAGCCTTTTTGGCTCTCTGGAGCTACTTACCCAAAGACAAAACAAGAGGGACAAGGATAGACCGCAGTTGGGCCAGACCGAGGTATCCATCAGATGACCTGGGAGACCCAAACCCTAAAACAGGGAAGAGGGGAAACTGGTCAGCCCAGTGCACGTTACTGTCCACCAAGGCAGTGGCATGCAGGAAACAGCGGAAAGCCGCAATTTGACACAACACATGATGCACCTCCAGCCAGACAAACTAAGTATCGACAACCCAAGGGCCCCTCCGGAAACCAGCAGTCACGTCCCTTGCCAGAAAAAGAGACAGCTGCAAATGAACAAACCAACTACCAGGACGAAAAGAGCAGAAACCCCTACGCCGGAGGAGAGCACGAAGCTCCTCGACTCGATCCCCAGCCAACAAAAGAAGAGCCTTTGCCAAACAAACCTGAACCAAAGGGGCCACCACAAACCGAGAAGAGGGGGAAGGTGAGCACGTGGTCCAATTATCAGGACGGCTCAGGTGGCACATGAACATGCCGGAAGTGATACAATGCATGGATTAGCTTGCGAAACGGCGCCAAAGTAACATTAATGCTGAATGCAAGCAGCAGAGACTCCACCGGTGCCGCATGATACGAGGCAACAGTGTCCTGCATAAGATGACGGTCCTGAATTAACCAGAAGAAAGAGGACAAGACAACCCTATCACAAACTGCAGTCAACCTACGAAGGGTCAAGAAAATATGGAAGGACTGTCAGGAAACTTCATACTGCCGCCGAGACAAAGCACGCAGGTGGGACACCATCAAAGAAGCCACCTGCTCATCATACAAGTGGTGAGGGACTCGAGTCAGAGAGACAAGACGTGAAAGGACAAGGGACGAGGCGCAGCATCGAGAAGACCGCCAGAAAGACCCCCACCAGAAACCAAGGCTGGGTTGGTCACCAAGAAACCAAGAGGACTACCCTCTCCTGGTAAGTCTCCAAGCAAGCCAGGACCTGGAGCAACAGCTGAACCGGGGGGAAGAGATACAGGTAACCCCACCTCGACCAGTCCAGCTACAAGGCATCGGCCCCGACTGCAAAGGGCGTCACGTACAATGGGAGACGCCTCAACCATGCCGACGCACAGAGGTCCACTTTTGGAGCCGTATGGCTGGCAGAGCCAGCGGAACGAGTCGACGTCGACTGTCTATTCCGTGGACAGGGAAATGAACTATAACATGCCATCTGTGTTGGGGCGTTTAGACACCCCCCAAACGTGAACGGCTATTAGAGCCAAACCTCGAGAACTCGGCAAATGAGTCACTCGAAGGGACCAGCCCCAAAGAGCCAAGGACTGCATCAAGCCCCCGCAGTTCAGGCAATGAACCACAAGGGAACAGTCTGAATGGAGCAGGATCGTCGATCCGCAAGCGACCCAAACCCTTTGAAGCGACATCCACACAGCCATGAACTCCCACACTCTGCTGTGAGCCCGACAGAAGAACGGATCCCACCGACCCTTGCCAGCCTGGTGAGCACTGGTCACAAAGCCCCAGCCATGGGATGACGCATTCATGAACACACCGAACGAGGGCTCGGATAGGTGCCAAGGCACTGAACCTCCCAAAAAAAAAAACAGAGGAAGCCAGCAACTCAGCAACCTGTGCCAGGCCCCCGGCGGCCAAAACAAGCAATCGTGAGAGAGGCGGAGGGGACGACCCCAAGGGAACAAAAACAGCCGATGAAGCCAAACCCGACCCGGCGGTTAGACCAGCATGGCAAAGTTCAGGCTCTCACATAAACTCTCGAGCAAGCTCTGCGTGACTCTGGAGCCCCTCCGAAACAGGCGAAGGCGGGATCGCAGATGAATCGTGACGTACCAATGAATGTTCATGAGGTCCAGGGACACCATCCAAGCGTCGGGCTCCAAGAGAAACCGGAACTGGGACAGAATAGTCGTTTAGAATGAGGGACAATGAACCAATGGGTTCAGGCGAGACAGGTCCACAATGGACCAGAGGTCTGCACAGTCCCATTTTGAAACCGGAAACAGGTGGGAGACCCACCAGAGAGATTTAGCGCAGGAGAAGTGGTCAGCCCGAACAGGCCCGAACCCCCAAAGAAGAAGGTGGCCACTGCAGGCCACATGAAACGACCCAAAAAGCCCACAAATCATGAGGAAAGCATGAGCAAACAGCACGAGCCTCCCCCCCCCCTCCCATTGCCCGGTCAGTGGAACGTACTACTAAAAGGCCGACGCCCCTTACAGGAACCCAACCGGCGCACAGACTGAGCACCGTGTCGACCAGACAAAGATGGTTTCAAAGGCCGCTTCATATCAGAAACTGGCACCAACGGCCTACCACGACGGAAAGAACCCCGAGCCCTGGCATGACCCTTCCATGAAGACTCCCCACAAGCTCTCCGGAGAACCAACAAGACCAACAAGGAACAGCAACTAGAAGCCGCCTGCAGATACTGCTGAACTGCAGACTCTGCAAACAGCAACAAGCAAAAAGGCAAAGACAGCTAAAGACCCAGGGCTCAAGCGGATTCAACAGAAGATTCATGCACTGCCAGCCGATACGTGAGGCGGGAAGCAATGACAGTGCCACTGCATCCCACAGGATCGGCGCGAACAGCTTCACCATCGCAGACGACATATGCACTGCCAAGGGCAATGCACCAGACCCAGAGGCAGCCCCAAGCATTTCCTCCACAATCCAGTCCGAAGACAGCTCAAGAATGGAAAAGAAATGGAAAGCCGATGCCAACAAGCCACATGCGTGCAAGTCCTCAGCCATCAGTGCCACCGAAAGGGAAGGGTCCTGTACGTGAAGTTGCACCACCCTGACATCCCTCGGAAGAGCAGGGACAAACAAGCACACGTTAAGGTAAAGGTATCCAAAAGCGCATCCCAGGAAAACCTTGGAACACCATATGTGCTAATGCCCCTGAAGCATGCGGGCTCGACAGAACGTATGCCTCGCCTCCAACGACAAGAGAGGGCAGTCTGCAAGCCAAGACGACTCCGATACTTCATAATGAACCCAGTTAGAACGAAAGAATGAGGATCCATTACAAAGGCATAATCTGGGTTGCACAGGATGTAAGCCACAATGGCCTCCCGCACCACATGTGGTGGGATGCCAAAAACCTCCAAAAGGACGGGACCGAAGAACCCACAGGGCCATGGAACCAAACCCAGGTAGACGTTAAATTCAATTTGTACGAGGAGGGAGAAAAGGAAAACCCCACCCTTTGTAACACCAAACCCCACTCCGAGGGTAAAAAAACCCACGTAGGGTCGAACGGGGCCCAAGACCCCCATGTCAACCCCTCCCCCTCTCTGGGAACTCAACCACAAGGACCCGGGGCCGAGACGTCCTCCAAACCCTCCACCTCCAAGGAAAACGCAGAAATCGCCAAGAAAGCATGAACGAAGGGGGCCCACTGGTCAGACCCAGAAGCTCCGGCTGGAGGACCAGGTTCGAATGTCTCTGCCGCCACCCCAGAAGGGGACTCCCCCGAAACCACCCGAGTTTCAACACCAACTAAACCTAGCCCCGACTCCAAAACCCTCAGACGCCTTGGAAGCGGGAGCAAAGGGCAAAGATTAGGACACACCATAGAAGGGAAAGACAAGGGGACATGGACAGAACCAAAGTCGAAGCGACTAATGCCCCCAAGTTCAGGTCCGCATAACCAAAGCGGGGCAGTTTTGGGGCATCCAGGGAGGCAACCAACTGCATGCGCTGCAACAACCTGAACCTCGCACGCAACGCTGCAGCTGCCTGTACCCACATATCCTGATCATTGGACTGGGCGAACTGGAGTATGAACAAGCAACAATGCTTACAAGACTCTGGATCGAAGGCATCACTGACCCAACAGGCAGCATGATGGAGGCACAACCGGTAAGTGTTACCCTGAGACTGGGGGACAGAGCAACCTTCCGACTTCCTCGAAGCGAGAAGACACTCAGGAGTCACATCCATCGAACCACAGAGCCCCTTCGGAGTTTACCATGGGCCCTTAGCCACGTTATCTTGCCAAGGAAAGCCCAGGCACCGGCTTTAACCGGTGTGCCACTCATGGAGACCTAGCGGAGGACCACCAAAGAACAAGAGGATATGACCAACCAAGGGGCAGACCCCCCCTCCACCAGGTAGGGAAAACAAAAAGAAAAAGAAAACCTCTCAAGAGGACAAAGTGCTCAGGTGGAACAAAGCCGGCCACTTTGAAAGGTGAAAACTAGCTGCACAGCACCCTGTGCCTCAACTAGTGAAGAAAATTACCCTCCTACCCAAAGACAAATAGGGAAACACAGAAACCACAGCTGGCTCCAAGAGTGCTCCCGTCCTCCCAGCGACTATAAGAAATATTGCCGGAACAACCGTGGACATCTTCAAGAGAAAACTGGACTATTTTCTAAGAGAAGTCCCGGATCAGCTAGGCTGTGGTGGGTATGTGGCCCTGCGGGCCGCTCCAAGCAACAGCCTGGTGGACCAAACTCTCACAAATTGAGCCTGGCCTCGGGCCGGGCTTGCGGAGTAGAAGAACTCCCAGAACCCCATCAAGCAGGTATCAAGCAGGTATCAAGCATGTGCCCAATTACCGAGCAGTAAAAGACATAACAGAGGTAGACTTCAAAGTGACTTGTGGAAAGTGGCCCCAAGCCCCAAGGTCAGTACTTATAGGGCACCTAGGGAAGGGAACCCTTGGCACATGCAGCCCGAGTACTAGAAGAATAATACTCCTAGCTCGCACACTAACTGCAGAGACAGCACGTCACCCCAAAGGACTGTAAACAAATCTGGAGCCAGAGACATACGACATGCCAGTGCCACATCATTCAAGAACTGAAGGGGAGAGAGCTGGCATGGGGGTCTGGGGCTCTCCTTTACCCCCTCCCAGGGAGGAAGGGGGGGGGGGCAGCGCAGACGGCGGCGAGATGGTGACGTCATGCTCGTTTTCATTTGGGGCAATTCTGTCACTAGTTCGGTTTTCGGTAGGAATAATTTAACCAGAATAGGGGTTCGTTTTGGGGCGCTTACCTTTCTGGGTGCCTGACCTGGTCGATGGCAGACGTTGAATGCCCCAATTACATCGGGGTTTCTTGGCCATTGCTCCTCGTGCCTCTCTGAGGGGGGGGGGCCAGGTTCTGGCTCATGGTCCGTGGTAGACCTAGAACTCCATGCACATTGTCTGATGCCAGATGTCAAATATATCCATATCAGCCTGGATAGCTCCAGGGAGCCGAAGGGGATCCCCCACACTCCCCAGAAAAATTAAGTCTGCAAAATGCAGACTTAATTTTTCTCTGCAAAAACTAAATCTTTTTGCATAAACCATGAATATATGATACAATATAACAAGATCGATATGGCCAAATATGATCTCTTGCAAGATCAATATGGCCAAATACTAATGAGAGTCAGATTGCATAAATATGTCATCATGATTTTGTTACAAAGTTACCCTTAACCATGATTGGTAACTCAGAACTGAACCTAGGTGTTATACTACAATGCTGAGTATAATAAAAAATGGATGTATACCTTGCCAATAAGTGGTGACAGAACAATCCTAACAAGGAACAAAATTCAATGCAAATGTGCAAAAAAAAAAAAAAATACTGGAAACAGGTCTCACACTGAGATGCATGTTCATGCACACTAATGCATACTTACACACATTCACTGGCACACGTCTCACTCGCCCTTTAATACTCGGGGAATTTGCGAAAGACCAGTCGAGGGTTGAGTACACACGTTATGTTTAGTTTGGAAAATTATACTCCAAGTATTGCTAGTCATAAACTTTGATTCCTTAAGAGTTTGGTTGAGAAACAATGACTGAGATTTGCTAGATACTGCATGAAAGATCAGTTAACATGTTTTTAAAAACTGCAAAGTTATGTTATAAATTGATGTTGAATAAAGATATAATTCTAAAGTTATTCTTCTACCATTTTCTTGGTTGGTTACTACATAAGATGTTAGTATATGAAAGAAAGATGAAATAAAATGATAAAGATAAAAACGAGATATGATATTAATAAAGTTATGATTGAATTTCTTACCGAGCTGATGTGAGTGACGTTTCATGTTTGATCCGGAGCATAGAGTATGGGAACGAAGACATAGCACAGAACTACATTATATCAGTGATGAAATATTGAACAAAGTATATTATAAGGGAAGAATGATACATCTAGAGAATTGAATGGTGTAGGTATGGACTGATAGGAAAGTACGTAATGTGTTTGCGTCATCTGCAGTGATAGGTAAGTACCGATATGTAAGTACTCTCACTCAACCCTAGAGTAGAGGAGGCGTATCCACTCTTTAAATGGCAAGTAATATGGGCAAACCTTCATGTTAAATTTATTGTCCCGAAACAACTTGCATTATTATATCGCTCTATTCATGAGACCCTCCATACTAATTATAAGTTGTTAATGTTGGGCATTAAGGACAACAATAGATGTGACCAATGTACTGATATTGAGAATAATATGCATATATTTTATTTCTGTAAGCAGAAAGTTGTTCTTGTAAACTGGATTACAGACACTCTAAAAGCTTTATGTGGACCAAGCATTAGAGTGGAGATAATGAGGTTTTTAATATTACATATTGACATAACATGCAAGAAAATGAAAAATACAATAATTATACTACTTTCTGATTACAGTTTTTGATTGTGGATAGGAAGGCAGGAGGGTTACCCAGTAGACAGAATATTGAAGTTCTTGCGAGACAGGATCAAGTATAACATTTGGGGTTTGGGGTAATTATGTAAAATATATATAAATGTATTATTTTCCCTTGTAAATTGATGAAAATATGATATAATATATTATTTAATAAAGAAAAAAAAGAATTAAAAACAAAAAAAGATAAAACATAAAACATGTAGTTTAAATAGCTGAGTTGTAAGGTACAGATCGACTTGATTTAGTATAATTGATAAGATATGAGACAAAATAGCTTTAGATGAAAATAGCTTTCATGGACGATGTTATACGAAACAGAACAACAGTTTAGTGACTTGAACTGGTTAAAGTTGAGTTAATCGTTTAAATACTGCTTAAAACAGTAATGCTATGATATGGATATGTTTGACTTGGTAAAATGTTTATCTAAATAATGTTGAGTTTGAAAGACTTTTTGATGAATAAAAGAAGAACGTAGTTTGGAAAGTACTGTTAGGTAAGTACACATACATGAATATTTGAACTAGTCGAACTATGGAAGACACAGAACAAAAGAAAAATAATGAAACAATACTACACGCTAATATTTCACGGAGTGTAGTTTACTCTCTCTCTCTCTCTCTCTGTGAGAGAGTATACTTAGTATATCAGTATACTAAGTATACTTAGTATACAGATCAGTATACTTTGTACCATTTATAAGTCATACACACAAAGTTGCATAGAGCTATTTAGTGTTTGCTTGATGTGTAAAGAGTAGTGGTCGGTGATATGATACGAAACAGGTAACTGACTGTATGATGAAGTAGAAATGGGGAAAAGATAAATTAAATTGATTATACTATATAAACGATAAACATTCTGAAAGATTGAGTTGGTAAGATTCATATCTCATAAAACACAAATATAAGTTGCGGTTTTATACATAGTTAAAACTACCAACATGGTTTTCGGTTGGCTTAAAGTTTTCTTAGTACATAAATAGTAATGACGAGATATGGTAAGAAAGACTTAGCAAGCTTTATATGTCATATAGTTGTGGATGGAAGATTCTGTTACAAAGTAATTAAAAAAGTTCATTCATTTATTTCGCAGTAAGATGGCTTAGTAAAAAATTTTAATAAGAAGATTCTATTGTACACCTTATTATTTTTATTGGACTACGATGCACAACCGAAGTTAACATGGGAAGAGCGAGAGAGTAACACTATACTTTTAAAACGTAGCATCCTAGACCCGGGAAATGAATGAAAGGTGAGGAGAATGTCAGGAACTTGAATGGAATGCATCATTAGACTGAGTGGTGAGGTTAAGCTCAGCCGCACTCATCCGCACACCCACTCCCGCTCTCAGTGTGATCTCTCTCACACTCGCTCACAATCATCACATTCATCACACACATGCTGTCCTCACACTTGTTCACTCATCACTTTCATCATACTTTCACCACACTCTGAAATGAAATTAGTAAGAATCAATTAGACAATGGAATAATTTGTAAATGCTATATATCCTTTTACTACGTCTATAATATGATGATTAAAATTTAAATTGAAATAACACAACACTTAACTACAAACCAAAAATAGAAGTAGTTCACTAAAACTAAGTAGACCAATACAAGTAGCCTAATATATCTATGTGGATTTCATTCACTCCAGAGACTGGGTCACAGTGGTCATTGATCCCTGTTTGTGGAACTCGTGTCCCTGTGACACTGAGGTAAATATGCCATCTAAGGTTAGCCATAACATTTAACTACGAATTCATACACTGGAATGAATAAGAGTTTACTGCGTACAAAACACGACGCATTAAACTAGTAAGACTCAGGTCCAAGAGCTAGAGTCTCTAAAAAAATTAGTTAACCCTCACGCATATGCTCCTCCCAACGAGAGGGGGCAACCAGACACCCCCACTTGGGTCGCGTGCGCACAAGCGCGCACTTCCACAATTAACTCATGATTGATCACGCTCATCCGTCAGTCATCCATCAGTCATCCATCTCAGCCGATGTACGGGATGCTCTACGTCACATATTCCCCTACTCCCCTACTTTGGTGGTGATGCTTACCATGCTCCCGGCCTGGGTGGTGATGCTTACCATGCTCCCGGCCTGGGTGGTGATGCTTACTATGCTCCCGGCCTGGGTGGTGATGCTTACTATGCTCCTGGCCTGGGTGGTGATGCTTACCATGCTCCCGGCCTGGGTGGTGATGCTTACCATGCTCCTGGCCTGGGTGGTGATGCTTACCATGCTCCCGGCCTGGGTGGTGATGCTTACCATGCTCCTGGCCTGGGTGGTGATGCTTACCATGCTCCCGGCCTGGGTGGTGATGCTTACCATGCTCCCGGCCTGGGTGGTGATGCTTACCATGCTCCTGGCCTGGGTGGTGATGCTTACCATGCTCCCGGCCTGGGTGGTGATGCTTACCATGCTCCTGGCCTGGGTGGTGATGCTTACCATGCTCCCGGCCTGGGTGGTGATGCTTACCATGCTCCCGGCCTGGGTGGTGATGCTTACCATGCTCCCGGCCTGGGTGGTGATGCTTACCATGCTCCTAGCCTGGGTGGTGATGCTTACTATGCTCCCGGCCTGGGTGGTGATGCTTAAAATGCTCCCGGCCTGGGTGGTGATGCTTACCATGCTCCTGGCCTGGGTGGTGATGCTTACCATGCTCCCGGCCTGGGTGGTGATGCTTACCATGCTCCAGGCCTGGGTGGTGATGCTCACTATGCTCCCGGCCTGGGTGGTGATGCTTAAAATGCTCCTGGCCTGGGTGGTGATGCTTACCATGCTCCTGGCCTGGGTGGTGATGCTTACCATGCTCCCGGCCTGGGTGGTGATGCTTACCATGCTCCTGGCCTGGGTGGTGATGCTTACCATGCTCCCGGCCTGGGTGGTGATGCTTACCATGCTCCTGGCCTGGGTGGTGATGCTTACCATGCTCCCGGCCAGGGTGGTGATGCTTACTATGCTCCCGGCCTGGGTGGTGATGCTTACCATGCTCCTGGCCTGGGTGGTGATGCTTACCATGCTCCTGGCCTGGGTGGTGATGCTTACCATGCTCCCGGCCAGGGTGGTGATGCTAACCATGCTCCCGGCCTGGGTGGTGATGCTTACCATGCTCCCGGCCTGGGTGGTGATGCTTACCATGCTCCTGGCCTGGGTGGTGATGCTTACCATGCTGCTGGCCTGGGTGGTGATGCTTACCATGCTCCTGGCCTGGGTGGTGATGCTTACCATGCTCCTGGCCTGGGTGGTGATGCTTACCATGCTGCTGGCCTGGGTGGTGATGCTTACCATGCTCCCGGCCTGGGTGGTGATGCTCACTATGCTCCCGGCCTGGGTGGTGATGCTTAAAATGCTCCTGGCCTGGGTGGTGATGCTTACCATGCTCCTGGCCTGGGTGGTGATGCTTACCATGCTCCTGGCCTGGGTGGTGATGCTTACCATGCTCCCGGCCTGGGTGGTGATGCTTACTATGCTCCCGGCCTGGGTGGTGATGCTTAAAATGCTCCCGGCCTGGGTGGTGATGCTTACCATGCTCCCGGCCTGGGTGGTGATGCTTACCATGCTCCTAGCCTGGGTGGTGATGCTTACTATGCTCCCGGCCTGGGTGGTGATGCTTAAAATGCTCCCGGCCTGGGTGGTGATGCTTACCATGCTCCTGGCCTGGGTGGTGATGCTTACCATGCTCCCGGCCTGGGTGGTGATGCTTACCATGCTCCTGGCCTGGGTGGTGATGCTCACTATGCTCCCGGCCTGGGTGGTGATGCTTAAAATGCTCCTGGCCTGGGTGGTGATGCTTACCATGCTCCTGGCCTGGGTGGTGATGCTTACCATGCTCCCGGCCTGGGTGGTGATGCTTACCATGCTCCTGGCCTGGGTGGTGATGCTTACCATGCTCCCGGCCTGGGTGGTGATGCTTACCATGCTCCTGGCCTGGGTGGTGATGCTTACCATGCTCCCGGCCAGGGTGGTGATGCTTACTATGCTCCCGGCCTGGGTGGTGATGCTTACCATGCTCCTGGCCTGGGTGGTGATGCTTACCATGCTCCTGGCCTGGGTGGTGATGCTTACCATGCTCCCGGCCAGGGTGGTGATGCTAACCATGCTCCTGGCCTGGGTGGTGATGCTTACCATGCTTCCGGCCTGGGTGGTGATGCTTACCATGCTCCTGGCCTGGGTGGTGATGCTTACCATGCTGCTGGCCTGGGTGGTGATGCTTACCATGCTCCTGGCCTGGGTGGTGATGCTTACCATGCTCCTGGCCTGGGTGGTGATGCTTACCATGCTGCTGGCCTGGGTGGTGATGCTTACCATGCTCCTGGCCTGGGTGGTGATGCTTACCATGCTCCTGGCCTGGGTGGCGATGCTTACCATGCTCCTGGCCTGGGTGGTGATGCTTACCATGCTGCTGGCCTGGGTGGTGATGCTTACCATGCTGCTGGCCTGGGTGGTGATGCTTACCATGCTTCTGGAATGGGTGGTGATGCTTACAACACTTTACATGTCGACAGTCACTGTAATTATAGAGCATGCTGAGGTTAGCATTATGCAATATTAAACGATAACATTAATTATATTATTAACAATTATTCAATCATGGGCGTTTTAAATAACCCAATTGAAATATTAATTGAAATATTTTATCAGATGGCAGAGAATCTAGACTATTAATTTAAATTATTGAGAATATGTACCTTACCTACATAGAGACGTCCCTAAAGCGAGACCATTGCTTAAACTTGCATAAACACTTGCTTAAACACTTGCTTAAACACTTGCTTAAACACTTGCTTAAACACTTGCTTAAACACTTGCTTAAACACTTGCTTAAACATGTCTCAAGATAGGAAAACACCCAAGTAAAGTTGTGTAGACAACAGTCATGAACCCCCAAGTGTTCAGTTGTGTCTGTGTCCTTCACTTCATTAACTTACTCATTGTGTGGTGCCCGAGTACACCTTACTAAATATTTATACTCAGTATTTCACTAATACACACTATAGCACTATAAATGGTCTCATTATATATATATATATATATATATATATATATATATATATATATATATGTCGTACCTAGTTGCCAGAACTCACTTCTCAGCCTACTATTCAAGGCCCGATTTGCCTAATAAGCCAAGTTTTCCTGAATTAATATATTTACTATAATTTTTTTCTTATGAAATGATAAAGCAACCCTTTTCTCTATGTATGAGGTCAATTTTTTTTATTGGAGTTAAAATTAACGTAGATATATGACCGAACCTAACCAACCCTACCTAACCTAACCTAACCTATATTTATAGGTAAGGTTAGGTTAGGTAGCCAAAAAAAGCTAGGTTAGGTTAGGTTAGGTAGGTTAGGTAGACGAAAAAACATAATTCATGAAAACTTGGCTTATTAGGCAAATCGGGCCTTGATACGACATATATATATATATATATATATATATATATATATATATATATATATATATATATATATATATATATATATATATATATATATATATATATATATATATATATATATATATATAACTTTAGACACTCACACCCACCAGGAGACTCGAACCCTGGCCAACAAGATGTCAGATATGCACTTGTATCCAGTACACCATACTCAGAGTCCTAAAAAGACGTGGGATTTCCCACCGGAATTCCCACCTCTTTTTAGGGCTTTGAGTATGGTGAGTGGATACAAGTGCGTACCTGCCATCTTGATGACCAGGGTTCGAGTCTCCTGGTGGGTGTGAGTGTCTAAAGTTCCATACTTCAAAACTTGTGGTTTAAAGCAAGTCAGTACATATATATATATTATATATATTATATAGATTCATCAAGTATTTTATGTCATTAAATGCACCAGTGCTCATCAACTGAGGCTTTTGAATTCGCTGGGACACAAAATAATATAAAGAAACACCAAATGGTATATGTAATGATATTCACTGTATATGTACAATAAATTTCATATATGTAAAATCCCTCAACACCGCCCAGTGTCTGGAACCCGTAATCCCCCCAACGAGAATCTGCTCGTCGCTTCCTAATCCCCTAATAACTTGTTCCTATCTCCAGAGAACCTTATCTCACTTAAATTACTAGCCAATTGTTCGACCACCACAATTACTGGTCGACAGCCACAATTACAGGTCGACAGCCACAATTACTGGTCGACAGCCACAATTACTGGTCGACAGCCACAATTACTGGTCGACAGCCACAATTACTGGCTGTAGTAGACCGAGAAGTGCATTCTGGCTACTAGGTACGACATATATAATATATATTGTGTGTGTGTAAAGGATATGTGGAAGCTGGTCACAATTGCATTTCACCTTTGTAAATACACATTAATGACACTATGTAAAAGACATATCGAACACTTTATGTAGGGCAGACATAAATCTGTGTATCAATGTATATATATCTATTGGTTAGATTAGAATTTTAAAAACACCACAGTCACCTTCTGTGGTTGATTGTTCAATAAATCTCTGGATTATATATTTAACAGATCTCTCATCCTATCCATGGAGGACTGAAGAAAATGTATATATCCTCGTTAGCAATGTAAATGTCTGGCCACGTCTGTGGTAGAAAAACAAATATCCTATTGCACCAATAGAGAAGTGAAGAAGAGAAGTGCGAGGTCACTCACCGCGTCTTCATGCACCAAGAGGGGAAAAGGATCATGGAACTCATCACCCCAGGTGGCGTGATGCAAGAACGGGGCGGAAGGGAGGGGGAGGGGGAAGGGAGGTGGGAGGGGGGAGAGGGAAGGGATGGGGGAGTGGGAAGGGAAGATCGAACAGCTATCCACGCATCGCGTGCAACACTGGAGGAAGGGAGAGGGGAGAGGTAACCACGCGTGCCGCTTGAAGGCAAGGCTGAGGGGTGTCTGACCCAAGGCTGAGTGAGGGCTGATGCAAACCTGAGAGAGGGCTGACACAAGGTTGACATAAGGGTGAGAGAGGGCTGGGAAAGGGGGGGTTGAGACAAGGGTGAGAGAGGGCTGAGTGAGGGCTGACACAAGGGTGAGACAGGGCTGGGGGAGTGGGGGTTGACACATGGGTGAGAGAGGGCTGGGGGAGTGAGGGTTGACACAAGGGTGAGAGAGGGCTGGGGGAGTGGGGGTTGATACAAGGGTGAGAGAGGGCTGGGGGAGTGGGGATTGACACAAGGATGAGAGAGGGCTGGGGGAGTGGGGATTGACACAAGGGTGAGAGAGGGCTGGGGGAGTGGGGGTTGACACAAGAGTGAGAGAGGGCTGGGGGAGTGGGGGTTGACACAAGGGTGAGAGAGGGCTGGGGGAGTGGGGGTTGACACAAGAATGAGAGAGGGCTGGGGGAGTGGGGGTTGACACAAGGGTGAGAGAGGGCTGGGGGAGTGGGGAGTGGGGGTTGACACAAGAGTGAGAGAGGGCTGGGGGAGTGGGGGTTGACACAAGAATGAGAGAGGGTTGGGGGAGTGGGGGTTGACACAAGGGTGAGAGAGGGCTGGGGGAGTGAGGGCTGCTACATATGTACTTGGATATAACAGTAAGGACAAAATCAATGATTCTAGCATGAATCTTCTCTATTTTCTTATTTTTTCTTTAGCC